ATTCGAGCGCCACCATTTCAATGTCCGTGCGGACGTCCATATTATACTTTTGCTTTCAAGTTAGTGTTTTTAAACCCCCCAGCGGGAGGTTTACACAATTGGTTTACACAATCACACGTTGATTAACCGGTGGGAAAATATTCCCATAGTAACATCCCTAATATATAAATATATAAATTCAATAGGCCTACCTGATTTTGAACACAAGAGGGCAGTATAGCACTATATATGATTTGGATTATTATTATTTTTGACTAAACAACCATTCTGGCTGTTTTTAAACTTAAAAATAATTCTTAAATTGAAAAAAAGAAATAAAATGGGTTTAGTTCTAATATTTGTATAATTTTATATAAAAATAAATGGTGTATAATTACATTTTAGAAAGATATGAGACATGCCCTGATTCTTTTTTTGACATTATTGTCCTCGATCAGAGCCCTAATCTGTTTAGTTTTTCAGTTACACATTCTACATTGATTAAAAAAGAAAAATCAAATGTGTTTTTATTTTATACAGAAATAAATAATCTATCATTCAGATGAGAATAAAGTTAGTGTTAGTTCAAATTTTAAGGAAAACAAATATATGATCTGAAATATAGCACATTCATTTATAATTCATTCAGGTTCAATTACCAAACATACAAATCTCAATGTAATTTAAAGCAAACAATACATTTAAAATACATGGGTTGTATGCTATTTTTTTTTATATAAAAAGATATATATCCAAAAAGACAAGGCCTAAACTTTAACAAGGGTTAAACAATCACTGTAACAGACACAATCACACACACACACACACACACACACACGTCAAATCACTTACATTTTAGATGCAATATTGACTTTTTTTTCTGTTTCAGCAGCGAAAATAGTTAAACAAAGATCACAGCAGAACCATCGAGCATCTCACAGCAACGCGTTCTCATTACTGAATGATTCAGCATTTTGAACGAATCGGTTGACTCAAAGATTCAACGACCAATCCATAATCTGTCTCATTCATGAATGACTCAGCCGTTCGAACGAATCGTTTGAACGAATGAATCAATGACTCGCTCATTAAGACGGTCGCCTGGCGACACCTAATGACGGTTTAGTGATATTAAAAGTATCATTCTTTCCAACGATTGTTAATTAACTCATATTTGAAACATAAGCTATATATATATATATATATATATATATATATATATATATATATATATATATATATACACATATATATACACACACATATATATACACAAAAATAAAATAAAAACACATTTGAAGCGTGTTTGCTTACTAAATTGTGAGCGGAACGAAAGTTGCAGCAAATATCAGCAACAGGAGTCAAATTTCATTAATCACGAGAGTGAAGAGCTGACTGAAAAGATGATGACGGAATAGGCTATTTTATGTAAAAGCCCCTATTTAAGCGAATCTATCATTGTACTCTTTTGTTGTTGTGTTTTCCGTAAAAAAAAAATAGACTATTGAACTCACAATTCAAGCTATCGGCCCCGTTATTGCACTAATTTTAAAGTGACACTAAAAAGTATGCGGCTGCACTGGCATTCATAATGGTGCGCGTCCATGGCGACGAGCGAGCAGAACAGAGCGAACGTTTTTTAGTTCATTCCTACTTCCATAGGAATTCCCTCGAGCGCTCTGCACGTGGCCATTATCAATGTCCCGTATTTAAAAGCTCTCGGTCCTCAGTCACATACCAAATATATGTATAATGTATATATAAATATAATTTTGGACACAAGAGGGCAGTATGGCCCTATGTATAATTTTGTGTTTAAACTAAAAGAGCCCCTCCCCCCCTCCCCACACAGACACAGACACAGACACACACGAATGGCAGGGTGCATTCTCTCTGTCAGAGGGAGAGGGAGAGAAAATTCTCAGAAACATCCACATTCAAACCAAAATATCTAACTTCCTCTTGGTCTGAGCTAATGACAGTTAATTAGAAAGTTGTCCGGCTTGATCTGAACCATATGCATACCTGAGTCTGTCGAGTTTCATGCAATTTCAAGCATGCTAAGAGTCTCAAAAGCATCAAACAAGAATATTAAAGTTTGATGTGTTGCCACGGCAACAGTATCTAAGATATCAATAATCCTTTCACAGGTCTACATCTGCCGTGTGTTTACATTATACACATAAAGTTTGAAGCAAATCGGGTAAAAATAAGAGGGTGATTTCAAAGCATTTAGGAAGTGACACACTTCCTGCTGCCAGTTGGTGGCGCTATAACTTTGACTCACAATAGTCACATCCATGTGATCGGGCTCTTACAACGAACACACTGTTGAAGTTTCATCAAGATCAGTTAATGTATGCAGTAGTTATGACACACTTCCTGTTTCACGTTTCTCGCCATAATTTTGTTTCCTCGCCACGGCCAAACCGTTCGAGATATCAAAAATCCCCTCGCAAACTTTCATCCTCAATGTCTTGACTTCATGCTGACCGAGTTTCGTGCCGTTTGTTTGAATTCTCTAGGAGGAGTATTTCACATTCCATTGCGTGTGTTTTACCAACAACCCTAAATAGCCGACTTCCTGTTGGGCTGGGGTAAAAAGTAAGAGTGTGAAGTATATATGAAACGAGGAGATCTACATGTGTACCAAGTTTCAAATTATTACATGCAAGCGTGTTTGATTTATGGACCATGTTTTCGGACCCCGTTCCAGGGGGCGCTGTCGAGCCCCCCTGCCACGCCCGGGTACCATCTTCAGCCCGGCCCTGATGGCCGCGGGTTCTGACATGTGTGCAAAGTTTCAGGAGTTTTTGAGCATGTTAAGGCCTCCAAAAGTGTCCAAAAGGTAGCAGAAATAATAATAATAATAATAATAATAATAATAATAATAATAATAATAATAATAATAATAATAATAAATAATCCTAAGGAAAACAATAGGGCCTTCGCCCTTTGGGCTTGGGCCCTAAAAAATATAATCCTAAGGAAAACAATAGGGCCTTCGCCTTTTCAAGGCTTGGGCCCTAATAATAATAATAATAATCCTAAGGAAAACAATAGGGCCTTCGCATTTTCAAGGCTTGGGCCCTAATAATCCTAAGGAAAACAATAGGGCCTTCGCCTTTTCAAGGCTTGGGCCCTAATAATAATAATAATCCTAAGGAAAACAATAGGGCCTTCGCCTTTTCAAGGCTTGGGCCCTAATAATAATAATAAATAATCCTAAGGAAAACAATAGGGCCTTCGCCCTTTGGGCTTGGGCCCTAATAATAATAATCCTTAGGAAAACAATAGGGCCTTCGCCTTTTCAAGGCTTGGGCCCTAATAATAATAATCCTAAGGAAAACAATAGGGCCTTCGCCTTTTCAAGGCTTGGGCCCTAATAATAATAATCCTAAGGAAAACAATAGGGCCTTCGCCTTTTCAAGGCTTGGGCCCTAATAATCCTAAGGAAAACAATAGGGCCTTCGCCTTTTCAAGGCTTGGGCCCTAATAATCCTAAGGAAAACAATAGGGCCTTCGCCTTTTCAAGGCTTGGGCCCTAATAATCCTAAGGAAAACAATAGGGCCTTCGCCTTTTCAAGGCTTGGGCCCTAATAATCCTAAGGAAAACAATAGGGCCTTCGCCTTTTCAAGGCTTGGGCCCTAATAATCCTAAGGAAAACAATAGGGCCTTCGCCTTTTCAAGGCTTGGGCCCTAATAAAAGAGGAGAAAAAAAAAAATAATCCTTAGGAAAACAATAGGGCCTTCGCCCTTTGGGCTTGGGCCCTAATGAAGCCTAACTGATCCGCACAAAGTGTCAGCATGCGGCTGCTAATATTGTCTGGGCCAGGGCTTGTACAAGACTTACTATGTTTAAAAGTGTTCACAACATTGCGTTCAGAAAAAAAAGGAGTAGTAAAAGGACCAGAGTTAATTAAACTGTCCCTTAATGCACCCGTTTCTGTACTATAATCGTGGACATCGAACCTAGAATAAAACTTATTAAACTCCTGCGCCAGAGCAGAATCTGCCGCAAAACCTTCTAAAAATGTATTTTTCCTTGATTTGTCATTAAGTCCAACAATATTTTTAACACTGTCCCAGGCTGAGCCCAAGTTATTATTTCTTAATTGTCTTTCTACTTTATCTTTGTAACCCAATTTACACCTTTTTATTTCCCGTTTGATCTCTTTTTGTATAGAGTTTACTTCAGTAACACTGCCTTGTTTAAAAGCATGTTTCTTCTTCTTTAACAGGATTTTGAGATTTTTGCTCACCCAGGGTTTACTGTTGGGGTAAATCTTTACCTCTCTATCCGGAATTACGGTATCTTCACAGTATGAGATCCAGGAACTGACAACATCTGTGAGCTCATCCAGGTCCATAGATGATGTAATAAACTCCTCCCACAAAGTACAGTCCAGGGAACCTTGCAATTCTTGTACAGCATCCTCAGACCAAAGTTTCACCCTTTTGGTGAGAACTTTTCCCCTCTGTAAACATGTACGATAAGCACAAGTTCAAGTTCAACTTGAACTTGAACTTAATAATAAATGAAACAAGTAAATATCACCAGAGACAACTAGACTACTAGAATATAACATCAGGCATGTAGAGCACACCTTGAAGGAGATTTGTCTCCTTTAAGCCCCAGACCTTCAACTGTTATTTCATAATCAAGCATCAATGTAAATTTATATGCTTTAATGTTGAACGTAACATCACTTACACACAGTAACTTTGAGACATTTATTGGCATTAACTGTATGGCACTCAAGCAATTTATTTCATAAGCAGTAAGTGCATGTCTATGGCTGTAGTTATAGTCGTCGACTAAGGTCCTTCATTTTAACAGTGTAACATATAGGCCCGGTTTCACAAAGAGCGCTTAGACTATGCCAGGATTAGGCCTTAGTTCAATTAGGGCATTTAAGTAGCTTTTATAAACTCTATTAAGTCTTAGAAAAAAACATTTCTGGTGTGCATCTTGAGACAAAACAATGGCACTGACATATTCTAAGATATAAACATTACGTTGTATTTGATATATATTTTATATATCTCCTTATGGCATAACGTGTCATTACAATTCCCAATTTGAAGGTCACTTTTGCACCTGTTAAATTTAGGAATGTAAAAAAAAAAAAAAAACATATGGAAAACACTCTGTAGCATCAGACTGGATAGATCTCCACGCTACTGTTAGTAACCTGTATTCCACTCCGGCCTTTCCAAAATTTTGTGTCTTTCCCGCCATGTGTGAAACGGATAAACCGAACTCCAAGTCCATAATCCATAAAGACGTGTGCCATCTGAAGCAAAGCAGAATTCACACAGGGACAGTTACGCGATTATTATTAGTTTGTTTACAGAGGAATAACTGCACTGTCTGTTATTCTACTCACTTGATACCATGGATACATTTTTCCCTTTTGAAAGGAAACTTTCTCAGGCTGAAAGGTACTGATGGTTTTCTTCTTCTCATCAAGCAACTCTACACAGATCCGATATTCACTTCCACAATCAGAGTGTGGGGTATACCTGCAGATAAGACATCACAGAAATGTGGTTCTGTTCAAAATCAAATATTTGTGTTTCCATATTAGAACCTGATTTAACATGGGTACTGTGTTCTTAAAGGGATAGTTCACCTAAAAATAAAACTGTCATCATTTACTCACCATCCCGTCGTTTCAAACCTCTGTGACTTTATTTCTTCTGTGGAACACAAAAGGAGGCGTTTTAAAACTCCAATTTGATTCCAACATTGGACAGCATCGACTATTTTATGAATAAAAAACACTGAGACATTTTTCAAAATCTCCTTTTGTGCTCCACAGAACAAAGAAACTCACACAGATTTGGAATGACAAGAGGTGAACTATCCATTTAATGATATTTAAATTAAATTATGTCCTATGTGTGTGTTTTTTTGTTTAGTTATTTTTGACTCTGTTGTGTAGGACAGTAGAGACTTGACATAAAACAATGTTGAAGAGAGAGGGGGGAACAGGAGTGGAAAGTACCACGAGCCAGGACTTGATCTCAGGTTACCTGAAGCTTAACCGCACCATTTGTGTCAAAGCTTATGCAGATTCTTACAATAAAATTAAAAATATTATTTTTATAAATATGATTGTCATACAGCTTGGATTCTCATACTGCCAGGCACAATTTCAGCATAAGGCACATGTGACCCAGATGGACAGGTCATTTACAAGAATTAATCACATAAAATATGAAATTCAACACCTAAAATACTGTAGCATGAAATGGGAGTTTGAGTGACTCTCACCAGTCTGATATTTTTATATGAGGTTGCTGTTGATCCATGAAAGCACCACTATAACCTTCTTCCGTCAAATCAATCAGCTGCTTCTTCAAACATAACCTGAGGACAAAGTTTGAGTGATTCATGTGTGGATTGGGTTCATGATTGATTTATTTTCAAATTGTTACATATACTGAAATTAAATGAGCTGAAGGATCTACAATATCAAACATACCCATATGACGTTACAAAACATCTGGTGACCGGAAATATTTGCCCATTTCTTCCTGTCTCCCAGTGGTCACCTCCATTCTGTACAATCTCCCATCCTTGAAGTCCATCTAATTAAAACATCAGAAAAGAGACATTCCCTGAAGCAAAGATTCCTTATAGTGACACTTATTGTACAATCTTAATGTTAAGGCTCACTTTGTGCACTGGGATTCTTGAGCAAGTTACGATTTCTGAGACTGAACCTGCAGGTGGAAACACAAAGTTATGTTGCGCATTTTGATGATATTACAGTAAACCAACTGAAACACAAATAATAGTAGCTACTTTCGCATTAGTTTTATGTCAAACATCACTCTTCTAATTTACTGCAGCAGGACTCTAATCTGCTTCTGTAAAACTGAAATATATCTGGCAGAGAGGAGCGTCTTGACGACTCACTACCGGCTGACGCTGTCAGAGCTGAGATCCGTTATATATACTGCTTGACGGTTTAGATATCCCAATAGTCACAGGATTCTGGACTTCAAAAACCGCTGAATCAGGATCTAATTCTTAGGGATCACGTGTTTACTGTTTATCGACAATATAGAACACTGAGTGATTGTTGATGGCATCAAAGCCCCTCCCACAACTCTGATAAATGCAATAAGGCTGCAGTAGGACAGGACATGTTATGGGAAACGTATTATGGTACAACTAGACATAAGGTAGCCAAGAGACTCATCACCCATTTTGAGAAGTTAGGTTATACATTTGATAAAGTGTATGATATTTCTCACTGTCATTCAGTGTCGGCGCAACGAGTGGGTTCAGGTGCCAACCCTTCTGTCATTTAAAAATATGAAATATGGTAAATATGAATGTTAGTGCATTTTCTGAATACTTTTATTATTACTATTATTAAAAAAATCGAACTATTATTATTGTTACTTTTATTTATTACACTCTTTATAAAGTTTAGAAATTCCTTAAAATGATTTTCATAAGCTCTGGTCAGAGCAAAATAAAATGAATGAGTGGTTTGATTGGTTTGTAAAGTATAATTAGCTGTAAATAAACCTCACTCCCCTGGCCTTAAGAGGCATACCAACAGCTGACGCTAGAGGCTGTGGTCATTAACAAGCCCAATGCTTGATGCTGGTTTCAAGTGGGCGGATCGGAAATAGTTAACATTTGCACTTTATTTTCATCTTTAATGTTTTGTTTCATGATATGCCTACATATAACTTGTATTTTCATTGTGAATTTTGATAAAAAATAATTCATTGATAAAATTAATAAATATGTTTTACAATAAAATAAATAATAATGCTGAAAAACACTACCAGTCATCAGCTGAATAGATCTCCACACTACTGTTAGTGAGCCGTATTCCATAATGGCCTGCCCAGAACTGGGTATCCTTCCCACCGTGAGTGAAACGGATAAACCGAACTCCAGGTCCATAATCCTTAAAGACGTGGGCCATCTGAAATAAAGCAGAATAAACACAGGGACAGTTAAGCTTTGACTATTAGTTTGATTACAAGGGAATAACTGGACTGTCTGTATTATTCTACTCACTTGACACCACGGCTCATCATTCCCAAATGAAAATATAACTTTCTTAGGCTGAAAGGTTCTGATGGGGTTTTTCCACTGATCAAGCAACTCTACACAGATCTGATACTCACTTCCACTAACAGAGGTTGGGGCATACCTGCATCAGACAAACAGCAAATAAAATTCTTCCTATTAACAAAGTGGCCTTTCATATTAAAACCTGATTTGTGCCAAATGCTAGTACTGTGTTCTTAAAGGGAACCTAAAAATGAAAATTCATCATGTCGTTCCAAACCTATATCAATTTCTTTATTCTGAAGAAAAAAAATTATGTTTTGAAAGTTGGATAATGGACCCCTTTGACTTTCATTGTATAGGACAAAAAACACTGAGACATTTTTCAAAATATTTTCTTTTATGTTCTACAGAACATAGAAAGTCACACAGGTTTGGAATGACATGAGGGTAAGTGAATGATGACAGAATTTTTATTTTTAGGTTAACTATCCCTTTAATGACATTTTAATACATTTTTACGAACAGAAATAAGATTTATTTTTGGCACTTTTGCCTTTATTTTGTAGAACTAAGACTTCACAGGAAACAATGTTAAAAAGAGATGTGGGAGCGGGATCGGAGAGTACAAAATAATCTGCCGATAACAAAAAATAAATAAATAAATAAATATGAACGTCATAACACTTTGGGTTTTAATACTGCCAGGCACAGTTCCAGCATAAGCCATATGTGACCCAGAGGGACAGGTCATTTGCAAAGAAATGATCACATAAAATATGAAATTCACCTCCTAAAATACTGTAACATGTAATGAGAGTTTGAGTGAACACTCACCAGTCTGATATTTTGATATGAGGTTGCTGTTGATCCATGAGAGCACCACTATAACCTTCTTCCGTCAAATCAATCAGCTGTCGTTTCGAACATAGCCTGAGGACAGAGTTTATCAGAGATTCATGTGTGTATTGGCTTGATGATTGAAAATTTTCAGAACATTCAAACATACTCATAAGATGTCATAAAACATCTGGTGACTGTGTCCAGAAGGGGTTTCCTATTTTTTTCCGTCACCCAGTGGTCACCTCCACTACGTACAATCTTCCATCCGTGAAGTCCATCTGATAAGAACATCAGAAAAGAGACGTTACCTGCAGCAAATTTTTTTTTTTACAATTGTTATTGTGCAATCTTAATTATATGAGTCACCTTGTGCGCTGGGATTCTTGAGCAAGTTAGGTTTTGTGCATCTCAACCTACAGGGGGAAACAAAGAAGTTACGTCTCATATTCTGAAGATACAGTAAATATGAGAGAAATCTCATATTTTTTATTTGAGAGAACACCCCCCAAAAATGTGTACATGCCCCCTCATCTGCTTATGTAAAACTGTCTTGTGGTGGAGAGTCTTGTCGGCAGAACTATTATTAGGGGCCAAGCACCGAAGGTGCGGAGGCACCTATTGTATCTGTTCTGGTTCTTATTAGGGGCCAAGCACCGAAGGTCAAACTGTTTTCAATAAACGCACAAACTAATTTTACGTAGCGCTTGAAAAAACAGACGTAAGGCTGTTTCTCCGCAACTCCGCAATCTGTCGCGCTGGTCGTGTTTGACCATTTGTTTGACGGACGTAGCAACAGTAACTAAGGGGGGAGGGGCTCGGCGAAAGGCTAATGGTGCGTTCAAGTCATCTCGTATAGATTGTATTTACGAGTTGAACGCACTTGAACGCCACCACAATGTCGTAAATACCAGTGGGGAGCTCGGGATTTTCTCTAAGCCCCGATCTTTCCGAGTTCTTTCCGTCACTGAGAAACATGGCGGAATACCACAATACTTAAATATTATGCAGTGATATTGTCAAGGTTTTCTATTTACAGCGCAGTTAAGCTAATTGCTTGCACAGAATATGATGGCATTATAATATAACAATGCAACATGTAACGATAAAATTGGCAGTGGCTTCATAAATTAATTAAAAACATTAAAAAACAAAGTACATCTGATGCACATTTCTTTGTTCTTCATTTTCTAGAACAAGAGTTTAATGGTGCGTTCACATCGGACGCGAATAGCGCGTCAGGCGCAAATTATTTCAATGTTAAGTCAATGCAAAGATGCGTTACGTGCGTAAAAAAATCCTGCGGCGCTAATGAGGCGTAGACGCGAATACGCCTAATTCGTGCGTCAAGTTCGAATGTTTTATGTAGTGCTTTTTGTGCATTCTCGCGTTTGACGCGAATTCGCGTCTGCCGCCCGAGTTGAAAAATCTGAACTTCTGCGTCAATTCGCGCCGCGTTAACCAATCAGGAGCCTGCTTACTGCTGTCACATGGTGAAGTGACAGTTTATAATGTTATTTTATGTTTGGCCTCAATAAATTATTTTGTAATATGACTAAAATTCTTGGTGAGCAAAGCAAATATTTCAAATAAAAACGCGATTTCAATATATGAGAGATACTCATTTTGTATTGAATGCTATTTTTCCCATATCTATTCTAGATTATATGAAACATTATTATTCTAATGTAAAGACAACAAACACAATTTTAAACACAATAAAAACTTTTTTTTAAATCACAAGACAGGTTTCACTTTTGGAGGCTCCATTTATTATCAAAACAAAAATAAATGACAGATTAGGTGGGTGCGGGCGAGGGTGAACCTCGCGCCGGGCTGTAGAGCGCGGGCTCGACAGGCATAGACCACTCGAGGCCGAGGCCTTATACGGCCTATGCTGTCCTCGTCAGCGTCCTCACTGTTAGGTCCACCAAACCTAGCTCCTGGAGCAAATTGTGAAACTCCTGAAACCCTCCGGAGGGTCTGGTGGACCCGAGTACAGCGACGATGTCCCCTACGCAGCTGTTTCTGCTCTCCAGAGCATATACGAGCGGTGACTCTCGATTAATGCTAATGCTCGATAAACATCTAAAAAGATGGCCGCCAACGGGTTTCGAAACTTTCGCCTCCGGATTTTGCCTCTGACTGTGCTTTCACACCGGACATCAAATTCGCGCCTGCCGCGTCTAGTTATACGCTTGACCACTTTGTGTTAATTCACATGTCAATGGCGAAATTGACGCACGTAAAAACAAAAGTTTGAATCGAAATTTAAGCGCGTCAATTTCACCGTTGACATGCGGCAGGCACGAATTTGATGTCCGGTGTGAACGCACAGTAAGAACCTTACTGTATTTTTGTGTAATTAATTAAGTGAAAGTACTCCGCCATCTTACTCCGACGAAAGTGACTTGAACGTGCCTGCCGTCGTAAACACGACTTCCCACCTCGTACGTACGAACTTCCCAGGAGGACTTGAACGCATCATAATTCCGCATTAACATTAGATTCTGCATTAATTGGCCAATTCCGCGATTCCGTCCGCGCGGAAATTAAAGGGACCTACTTGGGTCATGCCGAGAACATAGATACCAAGTTTGACGTATTTGGACGATTTTCCTGTCCGCCATCTTGATTTTCAGTGAATACCTACTTTTTTCAAACTCCTCCTAGGCCGTTTGTCCGATTTTCACCAAATTCGAATCGTATCATCTCCAGACCGTGCTGACTAAAAGTGCTGAATATGGATTTTGTGTTGATAGACAAAACTGTTTTCTTATACTGCAGCAGCATATTTGAGGCATTTGGCCAAAAGGACTATTCAGGCTTAATATCTGCAATGCCTCGACATATTGACACCAAACTTTGTATGTGTCATTGTCACCTCACTCTGACCACACCACATCAATTTCATAACTTCGCCATCAACTGGTCGAAAGTGATAATCCATTAAATCATACTTTTAGTTAATGTATATGATTTTTCAGCCATTTTACCAAAATTCTTTTAAAATGTCTTTAATTGCTCCTTGCTGCAGTTGATCCGCCACTCCCACCCATGATGGCATCTGTTGCCGCTTCTTGCGCTTGGCCCCGGTAATGGCTGCTTGCAGCTATATTATTTACTTCTTCTTGGTTTAGATATCCCATTATTCAAATATAAAAATTCAGCCTATACGGCCACACGTTTCCCTATTAATGTTTTGCTGTAGTTACGGCCTTTAAATTGGAATATCTAACTAAATCAATGAATAAATAAAGGACAGAAACAAATAATAATAGATATTTTTAATATACTGCAAATGTGTTAAATATTCATATTGCATTATATTGCATGCTATTAATTATTGAATTAATTTTTAATAGCCTTTACTTAAATTATTTTATTTGAACTGATCATATCTACACGGAAGAAAAAGTCATAACTTCATCCTTAATTCATGGGATTCAAGCTATAAAGCTCTTAAGATTGTAAGGATTCAGGGCGGATCTAATCCGTGGGGAATTTGCATAAATTAATTAATAATTGGTAATTAATAATTATTCATACATGTTTGGATTAGATCAATCTTACATTGAATTTACTCTCCCTCTAAGGGAGGATCTATCATTTTACCTGCATGCATACGTGTATCCTTGCATTTTAACTACAAGTTGATTGCATAGATCACGTTTTACAGACAGGTAAAATTTAATTAGCTCAATTGTCAGATTAATATTGGGGGAATCCCACATATCATCTTACTTCATAGGATTTCAGGAAACGCAATTCTCTGGCCAGAAGAACTGGGTTTTCTGCCCTATAAACACATACTCATAAAAAAAGGTATTTTTAATTTATAAAGCCGTAGCTTGATCTATTCATTTCAGAGGCCTGGAGTATGAGCAGACACAGTAACATCAATCAAAATGAATATAATGGATTTAATAAAGGCATGACTACTTATGTATTTACTACGGTTACATGGGATATATGTATTTACAAACACATAGACAACAATGAACAATACAATAAGACATCAGTGAACGAGAAATGCATAAAGTTTGGACAATGGATAACGTACACGCGTGAGCGAGTAAGAGAGAGAGGAAAGGGGATGGGGAGAGAGAGAACAGAGAAATTGGGAGAATTTCATTGGCAGGAAGACATTCACCTCTCTGATAACAACACGAAACATCATCTTAAAACTTCTTAGAAGCTCTATAAAGAGATATACTTGCGCAAGTTTCTTGGTCTCTCTGTATCGCGGCAATCCTGCGCGGCCTTGTCTGGCCGCGTGCGTGAGAGGATTCCTATGTGTGTGAGGAAGCATCACGTGGGCTGCTTGGTTCACAGTCTTTGGGGTAACATTACCAAAGGGAAATAGTTCGGCTGAGTTCGTTTCACTTCGTAGAACGGAGGAATCACGAGGAGTTAATGTTCCATCTGTGCATGGCTGGCGAAGAAGCGCGTGCTTCGCTCGGTCCGGCGCGTCACGCGGTCACGTGCGCGTGTTTCTCCTTCAAAGCGAGCGCGCGCTCGTTTAAAGGTCCCTTGTAGATGGATTTGCTGAAGAGATATGTCACGGGGTTTTCTTTTCAATCGTCGATTGGAATTAAACACAGAGACTTATCTACAACTGAAAAACACAAACTAAACTAGAAACAAATAAAAGAAAGGCGAAGAGCTCGCCCGGAGGCGAGACGTTACATCATGACACGAGGACACGGGAGGAAGAGAGCGAGTGAAGGGGAGAAGCGTCATTTATCACTTTCGGAGAAATCCAGCCTCTTCCTGTTGGCTTGGCCAATTAGAGGGTTGGAAGTTTACAGGCGGGACTTTGGGTTTATGGCCCTTTGTCTCCAGAGAGAGACATCTGAAACCCTAATCTCGTCGGTTGTTTAAGAGAAGAATCTTCACAATTCTTATAATACTAATGTGTCACAAAGTTTAGCAAAATGTAATGTCAATTAACAAATGGGGAACGAAGATTGGAGTTTATCGAGACCAAACTTGCCACAAATGGATTTGGTTAAACATTAGTGGGCAGAGTTTGAAACATTATCCAATTAAGAGTTGTCGAGAAACATAGACCAAACCACAGAAAGGCAACTCATGAAATAGGGAACTTAGATACATCGTTCATACAATTCTCAAGTGGATATATAATAGCATATATATATGAATACAGGATTCATTTCTCCTCCTTGGTTAGAATTCAGAGAGAGAGAGAGAGACATACTTCTCTGACATTCCTGGTGCGGTCGTAAATGCTGTTATCTAAGACTCCAGGCTCTGACAGTATGTTAAGTTTTGGTTCTTACTGTCCCCAAAAGCTGGTGCACATAGAATCATAACTTTTACTGTAATTTCTTGTATCTGATTAATTCCGCTGGATCATGAGAATTAAAACAAGACCAAGAACGACGTATAACAA